AAGAGAAAAGAAGAAAAGTTAAATAAGACTTTAAAATTTGGACAATTGGGAAGATATGTAATTGGAAAATCACAAGGCTGTAAACCAGGGGTGAAATCCAGCAGGTTCTGACAGGTTCTGGAGAACCGGTAACGGAAATTTTGAGTACAGAGAACCGGAAAATACTACCTCTGGCTGGCCCAGTGGAGTGGGAATGGAGATTTTGCAATTTCCTTCCCCCAGGAGTGGGGAGGGAATGGAGATTTTGCAGTATCCTTCTCCTGGACTGGGGTGGGAATGGAGATTTTGCAGTATCCTTCCCCTGGAGTGGGGTGGGAATGGAGATTTTGGAGTATCCTTCCCCTGCCGTGTCCACCAAGCCACGCCCACAGAACCGATAGTAAAAAAATTTGGATTTCACCACTGCTGTAAACTACTAAAGAATTTTAAAGATTATAAATTTAGGGGATTTGGAGGTATAATTATGGGATTGATTGAATTTTATTAAGTTGGAGTTTTTAAATATTGAGACATTGGAACCAAAGAGGTATACTGAGGTATACTTTATTAAATTGTTATGAAATGATTACTCAATATATCTCTTTGGTTCCAATGTCTCAATATTTAAAAACTCCAACTTAATCTTTATTAAATTGTTACAAAATACAGCAAAGAAGATAGAAAGGAGAGAGGAAGGGAGGGTTGGAAGAGGAGAGGGAGGGAGAGGAATGGAAGAAAGGGAAAAGGAGAGGAAGGAAGGGTAGGGGACAGGAATAGGAGAGAAGGTGGGAAGGGGGAAAAGAAGAGAGAAGTGGGGAAAAGGAAGGGGAAATAGGATGAGGTAGGAGAGGAGGAAGGAGAAAGTAGGAGAGGAGGAAGGGAAAGAACATTTCGCTTGTTGCGAAATGAGGGAAGAAAGGGTAGAAGTGCAACTCCGAATGTAATTAAAATGCCTTATTTTAATGCTTTCTTTAAGAAAACATATGTATGATTAATTATGTATAAGAAAATGTACATTTTATATTATGTGTATAAGAAATAAAACTGAAAAACTTCAAAAAAAATTAATTTGTTACAAAATGGAACTACAGGGGATAATAGAGGCAAATGAAGAAATAATTTTGATGCTCAAAAACATGCATGAAACTATAAAGAACAATAAGGAGATAAGGAGATTGTCTAAACATAAAGAAATGAGTGTAGAAGCCACGGAACAATTGGAGGAAAAGATGAACATGATATTCAGGAAATAGATAAGAAGTTAGAAGAAGCAGTGGAAGGAAAAAATCGAAATGAGGTGCAAGAAGAGAAAGATAATGAAGAGAAAGGATTACGGTAATAAGTAGGAATCAATCAGATAATTCCTTAAAAGCTTATAATAGAACAGGGGAAAAAAAGAAAAATCTCTTCAAAAAAAGAGACAGGTTTAGAGGGAAAAAAATCTCTTTAAAAAAAAAAGTTTTATTGATGGGTTTCAAATAATACAGCAGAAAGAGACAAAGGGCAATCCAAAAAGGGAATGTTCAATAGGTATAAAAATGCCAAAAAGAGTTATAAGACTCCAAGAGAGAGAAATAAAAGGGTGATTAAAAAGTCAATAAATGATGGAACTCCAAAAAGGTTAAGAGATGATAGATAATGATAAAATATATTAATAAAAAGATAAAATAGAAAATACAAATAGGGAAAATAGTAGTATACATATTAACAGATAATAGAATCTATTAGAATTAAAAATAAACTAAACTTAGTATCTTAGAAGTTTAGGATTAGGTAATCTAATTGTATTATTAATATTAATAGTGTGTTAAAGTATATTGTGAACTTAAACTTTTAAGGATTAGAAATTGTGGGGTTTTTGAGATATATTACTGGGATTGATTAAATTTTGTTAATATTTGGCCTTATTAGTACTAGACATTAGGGATATTGAAATTATGGTGGAATAATGAGTAAATTTCAAAATATTAAATATTAGTAATAGGATAACAAATACATGGCGCAAAGAAATGTTATTTATGCTTAAATGAATTAATGGAAAAATGATAAAGAATTATAAAGAGAGAATAGTACTGTTGAAGTTGGAAGATCAGGATTATGCATACTTATTTGTATTATTACTGTTAGCATTGTTTTAAAAAGATTTGACTCAGTCAATACACTGTCCACAAAATATGTATGGTGTGTATTATATTAAAAATAAAAAAAATATTTTTAAAAAATCTGGATTTTATTTATTTGACGATTTATAAGACCACGTAACTCAAACTGTGTGTCTCTGGCTGGCCTACAGCATAAATACACAATAAGGGTGACAATAACAAAAAATAACAACTAACAACAGACAATCAATAAATAAAAAGGCTAAAATGTTTGCAAGGACAGAAAAATGTAAATGATGTTGGCTTAAACTAAATTTAATTGTATTTCCTTTATTTTCCCCTTATGTCATCAACATATTTGGCTTGCTATTTATTATTCATTTTCCTTACTTGCCATAATGAAATTGAATATAGTGTGATAGGCATGTATTTAGATATGGATGTATGGATGGAGATTTGTGCAAATTTTTTGCTCTTTTCACTTCTTCCTTTCAATAGTTATAGTTTTCCCCAATCACAAGCCTTCGAGATTACTTTAATTTACAGTTCCCATAACTTCTACCCTCTTTTCCCCAAAATAAAACATCCCCTGATAATAAGCCTAATCGGGCTTTTGAGTGCATGGCAATAAGGCCAAGCGCTTATTTCAGGGTTCAAAAAAATATAAGTCAGGGTCTTATTTTTGGGGAAATACAGTATCTAATATGGCGAATTCTGTGAATTGTAGTCTAAAGTTATCTGTAAAGCCTCCAAGCTGAGTAACTCAGATCCCAATCTTGATTTGTCATCCAAAATTAGGTCTAATATTATGGTACTGACGGAAGTCTATCTCACGTCAGGGGTTATCTAATAAAACGTGTAATAATACTCTTATATTTTTTTCCATCTCAGTTATTTTAGGATGGTTCCTTAGAGCTGTTTGTGTCAGGCGTTGGCTTGGGTTATTTTTAATATGGATGACTGAATCGCCTTTGGTATGTAAGCTTAAATTCCTGTTGCATGAAAAGATCCAGACTCAGCACAAGTCATTTCTGTGGATATGACTTGGGTTCTTTTACACTGATTGTTTCTTCCAGAAGAAATATCTTTCCTCTGATACAGGTAGTCCTCATCGTACAACAGTTTATTTAGGTGATCATTCAATGTTACAATGGCACTGAAGAAAGGGACTTAATGACTGTTTTTCACAATTAGGACCGTTGCAGCATGCCCATGACCACATGATGATTATTCAGACGCTTGACCGCTGACTCATATTAATCAGTGATCCCCTTTTGCAACCTTCTGACAAGCAAAGTCAGTTGGGAAGCCAGTTTCACTTAACAACCAAGTTACTAATTTAACAACTGCAGTGATTCACTTGGTGGGCAGAACTCAGCAGATGTTTCACTTAGCAACAGAAATGTTGGGCTAAATTGTGTTTACAGTTATAACCATTGGAGCATCCCCAGGCTCACATGATCAAAATTTGGTGCTTTTGGTAACTGGCATGTATTTGACATTATGAACTGTATTTGGCAGTTCATAAATTGAGTCAAGCTGACCCAAAACTGCCCTACCCGACATTTAAAAGCTGTTGATTTAAAAAAAAAAAAGAAAAATCCAAGCTTAAAAGCTTTGAGAACATCACATAATTTAACAATCCAGATACTGTCTAAAGCACTCTCTTCAATTGGCAAATCTGAATATACTAAACTTGTGTTTTACACCAATTTTAATACAGCCTTAGGAATTGCAGATGTGATTCACGTATGGAAGGTGGAGGGATAAGGAGGACTATTGCTCTGATAACAGCCTGGAGAAATTCCCAGTTTCAGTTATCAACTTCTCCATGTAGGCTGGGAAGGAATCTTATGCCCTAGGACATTTATGTAAACACCATTTCTCAACCGTTGCTACTTCCACATTTGTGGTCGTCAATTCTCAGAAATCGCCAGCCAGCACAGCTACTGCCAAGAACATCAAGGGTTGTCGTTTGCAAATCTGAAAGTGACTAAGGTTGGCGTGGACAGTGCTAAACTACTACACGAACCAGCAATCTCACACTGCGATCTGGTTTTTGCACATCATGTCAGCCATAAGCAGCCTTGATTGATTGGTTTGGTTTTTGGTTCAGAGTGCTACATAAATGGCTTCGTAAACGACTGTTGTGGCTTAACATGCTGCTTAAATCCAGGCAAATGTTTTCTTCTAATAATCATGGTTTAGAAGGTTCTATGAATGAAATTTTATATAGAAAGCTGTTGTTGCCCTCAACTGGGATTAAGGACAGGAAAAACAAAATATTTTGGCCACACCGTGTATGCATGAATAACCAATTAGCATAGTAAACATCAGGTGGGTGGTGTAGAAGGGGAGGGGTTAGATTTGATAAAAGAAGGCAAGAGGTTGTGAAAATTTCAATATGTGAAACTTGAGCAAGAGCTGTTAATATCTGGCAATATTTACATATCTTCTATTCATCTACATATATTCATTATTTAATATTTGGGGTTTCATGGACCCTCCTAGCAGATTCACATCTGCCATGATTCTTAGGAGGGTATAATTGTTATCAATTGTTAGCTGATGTGATAATCTACAAAAAAAAATTAACGGCTACTACGTCTTTTATAGAATGGAAAACCTGGGAAATAGTCTTTCAAAGATCGAGCTACCAGATTCCTGAAGAATAAAGCTATCAATTATTCTTATGTGTGACAGAGTTTACAACAGGTGCTAGGGACTAGAAGCAGGATATTCTGCTCATATCCTGCTTGTGGGTTTTGCAAAACCATTCTTACTAACTACAGTAGAGAAAACAACATAGATCTGGCTAGGTTTCTACTTCGATGTCAAATGGCTTTTCTTATATTCTTAATCACCATCTGTTATTGCAAATATCAAGAAAACAATGAAGACGTACATTCTTTAAAAAAATATAATTATTACAATTTAATAATCAATTATGGTACAGTTAAGACATAACCAGGGATTTTAAAAGAGTAATTTAATATCAATTAATATAGGTCTTTCAAAAAAATTCTTCAATTAAAAACATATACAAGCTAGCAGAGATTTTGCAAATAAACAAACAAGCAAACCAATTCCTCCCAATATACAAACTGTAAATTGTCAAATTTTGGATCCAATTCTGGTCCTCTGATTGGTACATATGAAAAAGCTTAGCCATGAAATCAGACCACAGAGGTGAAGAAATCTGAGCCAGCCTTGGTTGGCCTTTTCAACTGTATGTTTAGCTATAGTTTTTCCCCAATAACCTTCAAGTTGCCTCTCTGATAACTCCAGAGGGACCAACTCCAAATCCCAGTTCCATAGCAAGTAAGGTTGACTGGGAATCATGGGGCTTGTGATCCAAAAGATTCAGAAAGATACCACATACGATGGAGCCCAAGTAATGCCTGTCAAATGGAACTGCAATATAGAACTTAATATTATATTTAAAAGCAATTATTTTTCACATATATTCATTAAAACAGCCACGTTTCATGACTTTTCAGAGGAGGTAATAGTAGTAATAACCTAGGATTATATTTATTCAGAAAAAAAAGCCTTGATATTTTCACTCATGTTACTCCTTCATAAAGTCAACATATTTTTATCTCATCCATAATGTTTTGGCTCAGACTCAATCCTACTACACTATATCCCCAGAGTCACCAGTTTGAAATTGCTTCAAACTTATGAACAATGAGCTTCTAGTTCACACCACACTATAAAACACCAAACAGAAGACGAGCAAAAGCAACGTTCTTCTTTTAGTGATGGAAAACACAGACCAGAATCCTCAACTTCTATGTGCACATCAACTATATATTTTTTTTATCTAAAAGGCTTTTCATTCCTAACTCTTTTCCTCTTTTCTGGTGGAACCGAGGGGAATGTTGTCAGCGGCTTCTTCCAGAAAACGTGGAAACCCCATGGACCCTCTTCCAAACTTTGTCCCGATGATCTTCTGCCAAGCAAGGCTCCAAGATGGCCGCCATTTGAGTGATTCTTCGGTGGAAGCGGCAGCGATCACGAGCCATTTCCTCCCATGGGCCCCGACGGGCAGCCCGAGAAGCGTAGTCCCAGACTACTAGTGAGTGGACAGTGACCACTGGGGAGAATCGGACCTAAGAATGAAGGAAAGAAAATATGAGCTAATGAGGCTGATATTTCTAAGGGGGTGCTTGTTGCTATAAATCAAGTACACAATTACATTATATTCTACCACACACTCTTATCATATTTATTAGATTTTTATCTAGCCTTTATTACTTGAGTATTACTAAGTACTCAAGCCAGGAAGCATACATTTCCTCTTATTTTCTCCACAATGATAACCCAGTGAGATGACTTGCGCTGAGAGAGTGACTGGTTCAAAGTCATCCAGCCAGCTTTCATGTCTAAGGCGGAAGTAGAACTCAATCTCCTGGTTTCCAACCAAGCACCTTAACCACCACACCAACTGACTCTAAATCTAATTTAGGTCTAAACCAGTGTTTTTTGTTGTTTCTTCTTCTTTTTCTTGTTGCTTCTTTTCTTCTTGTTTCTTCTTGTCTCTTCTCTTCTTTTCTCTCCTTCTCTAGCAGATAGGCTGGGCTCAGCGTCTCTCCATATTCACACGGCATGTTTGTTATCTACCATGAGCTTCCCACTTGACTATGCTGGTTTTACACTTAGGCACTCCAACTCGCAAACCTAGTCAGGATCCTCCAAGTAGTATAAAGGAGGTCAGATCCTCCTTTAATGTTATTTCTTACTCAATGGTCTCCTTGCTCCATCTTTTAATTAGAGTTTGTTCTTTATATTTATGTATGTAGTTGTTGAACTGAGATTTGTGGAAACTCAAAGTTCCAAACCACTTTAACAGCCAAATTCACTAGGTGACTTTAGGCTAATCATTTCTCACCCCAACTATTTCACAGGGCTGTTATGAAGATACAACTGAAAGCAAAAATATTTTGTATGTTCCCCTGGTGTTTTTATAGGAAAAGAGGGAATAAAACAAGACATTTGTTCATTTGACTCAGTTTAGGTGGTTTCCCAACAGTTCTGACACTTTCTTCTCAGCAATAAAGTCCTTTTCATTTCACTATATCCCCGCTATAATCTGAGATTAGAGCTATATCCCATTTTTCTTCTGGGTGCAGTGCAAATCAAATAATTTCACTCTCACAAGAAGACACACAAAATCTGGTGAGCTAATAGGTAGCCACTGGCCTCAACACCCAAGAATCCCCATGGGTTATAATCACCATAATTCATGATCAACTCCCAAGCTAATCCTTCACATGTCAATATGTAAGGGTGGTTGAATGTCTTTTTAACTTTTACCTTAATAAAAGAGAGGCTATTTCCCACTCACAATCTCCACCTTTCAAAAATTATTTTAAAACAGAGGCCCAGCCTAAGTTCAGATAAAATTGTCTGGCTTGTATGCTTGCTGTTTTTCATGCTCTTCTGCAAAGAGATTTATGGATTTAGGGTAGTCAAATAAGAACAGAATTTGCATCTGTCTGTGGACTTGGCACATTTGTGCAGAAGTGCTAGTAAGGCAAAAAGGAAGTAGAAAACAAAGCCAGGAATCTTCATTTTTAATTTATATTAGGCAATCTCTTAAAGGGAGGCAGGGAAATGAGTTTGCTCGACTGGGAAATGTCCTAATGTTACATCATTTGTTTCCTTTGGAAGAGACTTGTGATTCATAGTCAGCGACAATTAAATAAAAACATAACCTCCATTTCTTCCTAATTCAGACACTGATCTGGTGACTGTAAATTAATCATGTCCCATCACATGAATCTTTCCCCTATTTGGTTTTCCACGGAGGTCTACTCAATTGGAGCTGAATTCCCTGAAATTACTGAATGGGAATGGCATTTTGTGAATGATAAAAACACTTTACCTTTCCTCCCTCAGGCATTCAGCCTTTTGTTCTTCAACATGTTCTTTGAAAAGAATCCTCCAACAGTCTAATCCTAACACCTCTTCAATAAAAGACTACCTTTTCCTCTAATATGTATGCCTCTGGCTGATAAATTGCGCAATACTTTAATAACTACTATACAGGTAGTCCTCAACTTACAACAGTTCATTTAGTGACCGTTCAAAGTTACAACAGCACTGAAAAAAGTTATTTATGACAGTTTTTCACACTTAAGACCATTGCAGCATCCTAATAGTCATGTGATCAAATTTCAGTTGCTTGGCAACCGATTCATGACTGTTGCTGTGTCCCAAGGTCATGTGATCCCCTTTTGCAACCTTCTGACAAGCAAAGTCAATGTGGAAGCCAGATTCGCTTAACAACCATGTTACTAACTTAACAGCTGCAGTGATTCACTTAACAACTGTGGCAAGAAAAGTCATAAAGTGGGGTTAAACTCACTTAACAAAAGTCTCATCTAGTAATGGAAATTTTGGGCTCAGTTGTGTTTGTAAGTCAAGGAATACTTGTATATATTTCCACTAAAATGCATCATATAGCCTGGGACCTGGTTAATTGAGGGTCTATCTGTCTCCTATAGCAGGGGTCTCCAATCTTGGCAACTTTAAGACTTGTGGACTTCAACTCCCAGAATTCCTCAGCCAGCAAAGTTACCAAGGTTGGAGACCCTTGTCCTATAGTATCTGTCCGACTGATCTCGTCTGACAGGATTGGTATGCTCGAGGTTTCTCCTACTAAACAATGCTGCCTATCGAGGCCCCAGTAGCACGCCTTCTCTATTTGATTCTATAGAACCGTTCTCTACAATGAGGTTTCTCCCAAGATCCAAGTGGCCCCCATGCTACTGGTGTTTCGATGGACCGCAAAAAACTGACTTTTCATCCAGATTTTTGGCAACTTGGATTGAAAGCCCTCTTTTCTTCTTTTTCCTTGTTCCCATCTGGGTTAGTTATTTTTGCTGTTTTTACTCCTTTTTTTTTTAATGTTGCTTGCTTGTTTCGTTTTTCACATTTTGTAAACCACCCAAAGTAACCAAGAATCAGACAGCATATTAAATAAATAAACGGAGCAAAAATCCCCACTTTTAACCTCAGCAAGAAATTCAATTGATGCAATTGTACTGCTTCAAAAACAACAGCTCAACAGTACTATGTATCATCTCTACTCTTCATCATCATACTGAAAAGTTTTTAAAAACACATTTTCTCAAACATAATCATGTAGGCAAGTCTAAATTTCAATCAGTCAGAGCCAAGAGCAGAAATACAAGTGTTCATGGTTCCTAATTAAGGAGCCACATAAAACAAAACAAAGGTGGATTTTGAAAATCCTCATTCCAAACACATTCATAGAGCACACCTAAGTATTTTAGGACTCTCACCTTCTTTTTCACCTGGATTTCCTGCTGTGAAACTATTTCTGCAGGGAGAGGAGAAGTGTTTTTCCTGGGACTTGGTTGGCAGCATAGGTAGGTCTCCTGATTTCTTTCAACTTTTTGGTCCTCTCTGGGCAATGACTGCTTTGGGAGATGATACGATTCTTCAAGTTTAGAACTGTTTCTTGTCTGATAAGAAGAGACAATAGTTTCTTGATGGTTTTGGGGCTTCAGTGAAGCAGTGGTGACATCTGTGAGGGCCTGAATGGGTTTGGAAAGGCAAAGTGGGTGGAAGGGATCACTGTTCAGGGATAGAGATCCACAGGGATTCTCAAAAACAATCTTCTGTACAGAGTCCTCCTCTTCTGCTTCCTGATAATTCTCTAGGTCTCCTGAATTATTACCATCAGAGCAAGTTTGGGTCTTACTACTGTCTTCCATCTCATCCTCACTCCACCAATCTTCTGAACTGTCATCATTGTCATCTTCTTCATCTTCTAATGGACTGTAGAATAAGGAAAGTACCAGAGAACTTTGGAAGCTACTGGGATTGGCAGGGGATTCCATGTTATATGTATCTTCATTCTTCCCACTCTTTTGCTTCATTTCTGGTTGTTCCTCATCCTTTGAAGAACCAAGTGAACATGTTAAGCTTTGTTTTCCACATATTGGCGGATCCCGGTTAGATTTCATGTTCGTCTCCAGTTCCTGGGGAACTAAGGTGGTTTCCAAAATCTCATCAAGGCCTGTATTAAAATTTAATTGTCCATTAGGATTTAAGCAGTCAAAAGTATTTTCCAAACATCCACAGAGGTCCAACTCTTCTATAAAGATTTCAGGATTGTAAGTATCTTCCAACAATTTAGGGGAGACATGCTCAGAACTTTTTATAGTCACACATTCTATGTCCTTTCCTGAAGAAGCTTGCCAATTATTTCTCAAATCAAATACTATCGTAGGACTTATTAAACACAGCTCAGAAATCCCTTCCTCTTCCAAATGCATGTTATTCACTGTAATGCTGCTTGAATCGATCAAAATTTGTTCAATGTCTTCTCCAAAAGAGTCATCTATAACCAAACTTCCCTCTGAAAGATAGTTTGTATTACTCTTCAGAGAACTGTGTGCTTGAAAGCTGTCTTCCCCCAATATCTTCTCAGGGTGGTTTTCATTTCTTTTAAGTTCTCCGGCCTTCTTTAAATATTTCATCTTCTCTAAGATGGGCAATGCTCTTTTGGCAATGCCCATCAACACAGTCTTCACCAGGTTTGTAGGGAAAGGCTGGCAAAAGTGTAAAAATCTTCGCAACCAGACCATGGTGAGCTTGAACATATGTCGAAGGATTGGAAACGTGCCAGCAGGGATGGAGCTGACTGGTTCAAGAGGTAGAGTTTTTGTCATTCCAGGTCCAAAGGAATAACAACTGTTGAGGATAATATTTTGGGGTTCAAAGGGTGAGGTGAACTGGCTGGTCATGATACATGGAGGCATTTTAAATCTGAAAAGAAGCAATCAATGTTGGAATTTAGAGTAAGAACATGTAAATTGAAACTCAAGATTCTTGGACTTATAACAAATTACAAATTGGCTTATGACTATAGTGAACCCAAAATTTCTGTTGCTGATCAAGACAGGTAAGAGAGTTGCGCCCCATTTTACCATTTTTTTGCCACAGTTAAGTGAATCACTACAGTTAATTCGGCTGTTATGCGAATATGACTTTCAACATTGACTGTGACAGGATTGACAGGATAATACGACTATCATAAATACATGCCAGTTGCCAAGCACCCAAATTTTGATCATGTTACCACAGGGATGGCTGCAACTGTCATATGGGTGAAAACCAGTCATAAGTCACTTTTTTTCAGTAACGTGACTTCAAGTGGTCACTAAACAAATGGTTGAGGACTACCTGTATTTTATATGAGGTTAGATCTGTACATCAAGTCTGGCACTGTCCTTAGTCTTATACAGAGCTCTTTCCCATCTAAACCTTTTTTTAACAATATACCTATTTAGTACTGCACACTACTTGCATAGCATTCCACCAAACATTTTACTGTAGTAGTATTTTTTTATTTTTATGCATTAAACCATAACAATTTTAAGATGTGTGGATTTTAAGCATGGCTGGCTGTGGAACTGTGAGAGTTGAAGTCCACACATCTTAAAAGTTGCTGTGGTTGTATTGTGCATACACAGACACACACATAAACATACACACACACACACTAATCTACCAAATACTTTACTGTAGGTTTTTTTTTTAATTGCAGGAAATAATAACAAAATAAAAATGAGAAGAATGAAGCAATTTTAAAAAACATGAAAACATCAATTAACATAATAATGTAATAGACCAATCAGTTAAAAAATACGTTTTGACATATTTTCTAAGGATGATCATTTATGTGAACCTACAGTAGTAAGTGAAGGGGTGATTGAAAATCAAGTCACTGGAATCCTCACCTTATAAACATTCTTTTAATAATAGGCTTGGAAAAAGTGACTCATGATCTGTTCTCTCTCTTATGACTGTCACACCAGCCCTGTGGTCACGTGAATGCAATTATGGACCTTAGCAACCAAGTCACATTTACAACCTGTTGCAGCAGCCTGTGGCCAGGTATTGCAATTTGTGACTTTTTTTTTTTTTTTGCCACTTTCTGCCAAAAATTACCTGTTGGGGAACTGGATTCATTTAATGACTGCATGACTCACTTAACACCAGTTGTAAAAATCGTAATCATAAAATCGGATTTGATTTGACTTACAACAGGAATTCTGGTCCTAGTTGTGATCATGAGATGAGGACTATATTTCATTCTAGATATTCTGGTCCATAACTCCTAACACCCTTCAGTTGTAGCCAAGACTTCTGGGCATTGCTATTCAAGAACATCTGAAAAACCATAATTTCCCACCAACTTTCTTAAACTATTCTGGTTAAAACCTCTTAAGTTGGTCCTGAAAAATAACTGGCATTCTGGCACAAATTTTTAATATTTTTTTAATATGACTAAAAATGCATGATATTCTTTTACTGCGAGGTCTGCAAGAATATTCTTAATTTTTTCAGAGGGAAAACAAGGGCATTTAATGCTTGCTTTATACTAAGTCATGTTCCTGGTATCAGATTCAAATGCTGAACCTCAAAGCCAGAATAACAGAGTTGGAAGAGACGTTGGAAGTCTTCTAGTCCAATTCAGGAAGGAAACCCTATACCATTTCAGACAAATGGTTGTCTTCTTAAAAACTTCCAGTGAAGCCTGAAAGAAAACAGGTTCTGGCATTTGGAAAGTCACAACTCCAGCATTCTTTGGATATCAAAGTGGAACAAATTCCCTTCCAGGGCATCCTTGTTCCTCTGCTAATCCACTTTTTTCAGGAAAGGCCAAACTTAAAATAAGATTTCAGAAACAAGAGCTGGCAAGTGGAGGCACGGGAAAAGGAAGAGGCTGGAAGACCACATTCTTAGGTGCCTTACTCCCAAATTCCAGCACAATTCCTTCTGCCCCCTACCTGTAGGGCAGTTCACCTGCCAGCTTTCTTAGGGAAGGTTTCACCAGTTGAGGTGTGTAGGCTGAATTCAGGGCGCGCCCCAGACAAGTTGGAGCAAGTGCCCCTGGAACGCTGGCAACACCCCAGTCCGGAAGAAGGGGGGAACGGCGCGCACACATACACACACACACAGAGTTCGGATGCTGAGTGTGCAGCTGCCGGGGAGAGAGGAGGAGAGACAACCCTTCTGACCCACAACAGGTTAGATCTGGAAGAGGGGGGAGGAAGGGAATATATTCACAAAGGGAATCATCAATGTATGAGAAGCGACAGGTATTACAAAAGAGCAGAAAGGTTTGCAAATGATTTGTGGACTCAAATTCTTTTTGATGGTTGATTTGAATGATCAGAGGTTATCAGTACAAAGAGCTTGGATTCTCAAGAAGTGAGAAGTTCCTAATGGAATGTAGAGGAATATTGTGGTTGCAAGGTGGCTTTTACTGAGGATAACTGGTTCTTTCTGAAAGAGGAGAGTAAAGAGGATCCAATGAGAGTTTCCTAAGAAGCATTTGGTGGACAACAAGCAGTAGCACTGGAAGGCCAGCAAGTGGGTGGGTGGGCTGGTAAAATTGGAAGCTGAGTCAGAAAGAGGAGGCTGATTATTTTGGGGGTGGGGAACAGAAAAAGGGGAGGGAAGTGAGAAAGAGATTCAAGAGAGTCCATAACAGTCCCTATTCTACTGCAAAAAAAAAAAAAAAAACTTGGAATATTCTTTGGATGAGGAATCTCAACTAACCCTTCTGGAGGGCACTAGTTCTCCATCCTACACTTTGGAGAACCACAGACCATGACTTGAAAAATTCACCTTGCCTGGAAAGAGGGACCCACAAATTAGAGAAGAGAATGACATTTTGAAGGATCAGAGCAAAAAACGACAGCACTTTACAGTGGGTGGTGGGTGATGGCGGAGGCAAAAGCTAAGAACATCTAGACTTTGGATTGGGGTCCAGAGCCGAGGGGAGGCCACCCACTTACTCTTGTGCCAACGGAGGAAAAACAGTTCTGAGAACCGCACAAAGCGAGAAGGAAGATTACCGACAATTAAAAAGGGCGGATCGCTTGGGTGGATGCCTGGGAAGGCAACCGAGAGGGCGGAGGTGGCAGGGCTATCATAATGCCAAGCCGGGACACCTGGCCCAAGTTCGGAAAACCAGGGCTTTTCTGAAAACAGGCGTTGCCTTCGATAAGTGCCTTAAGCACGTGAGAAACAGAACACACGGGGCGGGGAGTCAGCTTGGAAACCCGCATTTGCCGGGAATGAGCAGGAGATCGAGCGGCTGAGCCGACCACCTAATAGGCCAAGGGGTCCAGGAGACCAAGAGGCCAATACAGTATTTTGGGGTTCCCCGCCCCCCGCCGCCCCAAAGAAAGATCTAATGATTTTTAACCCACTTACCTGTGGATTTTTAGCCTGTAATAAACTCGCTCCAACATGTAACCGCGGCATAAACGCGAATAAGCGGCCGGACGGTAGGCTTTGCAAAACAGCAACTCTTCTCGGCACGAAACATTTCGCCCTATCGAGAATGACCTTCGCTTTTTCTGTGTCGTTTAGAAGGGAATGTTTGAGAGCAAAGCGAAACCCGCAGGTGCTTTATATAGACTCCTTCCGCAAGGCGAACGTCATCGCATTGTGACGTCGAAGGCACGGGGCGTGGCCAGAGCCGCAGAGGGAGAGAGACGTGAGGGCTCTAGAAGGGGAGGGGGCGCGGAGGAAGTGGTGACGTCAGGGAAAATTTTGGTGGCCGAAGGCGTAGGGTGGACGGGAAGGGGGAATTCGAAGTTTACCGAATACTTTTCAATCTTCGTTTCTGGAGTTTTAAAATACATTACTAGGAAAAACTCACTTTGTTTTAAAAATATCCACCGCGATTAAGAGAATAATGTTGAAAGACTTTAGGGAGATTCTCAGTCATCCAGGTCATGGTTGATGCCAAAGATGCTTTTTCAAGATGCTACAAATTTGTAGAATTACAAATAGAAAAGTCTACAAGTCGTTCTTTCTACCTTTGATATGGTCACAGATATTTTACATGAGACCAAAAAAACCCCAAAACCTTAGTCCTGTTCAAATGCACACAAATAAATCTACAGTAGGAATAGAATAGTTGGAAGCAAAGTAAACAAAACACTTCTTTTAAACTTTTTTTTTTTCAAAATTCTTTCCCATTTGGTAAGCAAGACAGGAAATGAACGGTATTTTGGAGGAGAGAGATAAACTTTATACATACTATGCCACCATGGCAACTTTAATAAGTGTGAATTTTAAGCATGGCTGGCTAAGGAATTCTGGGAGTTGAAGTCCACACATCTTAAAAGTTGCTATGGTTGAGTATGCATAATCAAACACACTCACAAACACATACACACAAAAACACTAATTTGCATGTTGTAATAAAGTGCAACAAGGAAAGGACACCAGGAGTTCAGATGGTTTTCTTGCATAATAGACACTGACTACATTCATTTCTAAAATAGGAAGTATGGCTGCTCAGATTTAAAATTTATTGTTAACAACCCGTTTGAGCAGTTCACTACTGTGCTACTGTATCCTTGGTATTATGTATTGAATACATATAGTTGTGTTAAGCCCTGCTAAAGTGAAACTAACCTTTAGATGACCCTAACTGTTAACTTCAACTGTTTTGGAGGGAAACTTAGAACATTCATATTTGGGCGGGCTTTTTTCAAGTACTGTGATTGGTTAAGGACCCGGGCCAAGAGTATTAAATTACATGCATTTGCCTGCTGTTCCTCAGTTCCAGTTTTGAGTCAATAAATGTTGTAGCTATGCTGGTCTGCTTCTTGCCTACTGAAGCCCACTATACAATACTTGGTATCCTTGGTATTAAATGTCACCTCTTCTAGAAATGCATAATTTTACATTCTTCTGGTTTACATCTGAAAAACAAGCCAAATCCACAGTCTATGTATCAGTCTTCCCCAATTTATGAATGAAGGCGAATATATGTGTCCCAGGATAATGTTGCAGGATCCAAACTGGGTCTATCACTAGGAACAGAGGTTTTGTCTTCTGAGCTTTCTGGCTTGTGCTGGAGCCCATCTTCAGGAACCACTCTCTCATCCCAATGATATTCTGGTGAGAGAGAAGTTCCTTGAGGATGGGCTCCGGCATGAGTCCGAAAGCTCAGAAGAGTAAATCTCTGGTTTTGGTGACCTACCTAGATTGTCTCTTCTTCATATTGTTTTTTAGAAATACATTGAACATCAATTTCTATCAGCTCCAGGGGGCCAGCTGGAGATGATGAAAGTTGACAGTCAGTAGATGAGATGAGGATAAAGAGACATGAACTAAGATGAAAAGTGGAACTATTAGTAGCTGTGGCTTCCGGCATCCCGATATAGCCAGCTGGTGCCATCGCTGGCTATTGGGGGCGAGTTATTGGCCCCCACGGACAGGGCTCGCAACTTGGGCATCCTCCTGGATGCATGGCTGTCTTTAGAAGAGCATATGACGGCCGTGGCCAGGGGGGCTTTTTATCAGGTCCGCCTGATTCGCCAGTTGCGTCCCTTTCTGGATCGGGACTCCTTACGCACAGTCACTCAGGCACTCGTCACTTCCCGCCTGGACTACTGCAATGCTCTCTACATGGGGCTCCCCTTGAGGAGCACCCGGAGGCTCCAACTGGTGCAGAATGCGGCCGCGCGGGGGATTGGGAGCGAGGGGGGAGCGAGGGGCACTCCCATGTGACAACTCTCCTGTGTGAGCTGCATTGGCTTCCAGTGGTCTTCCGGGGTGCGCTTCAAGGTGTTGGTTACCACCTTTAAAGTGCTCCATGGCATAGGACCTGGGTATTTGCAGGACCGCCTTCTGCCGCCGATAGCCTCCCACCGGCCAGTATGCTCCCACAGAGAGGGACTCCTCAGGGTGCTGTCAGCCAGGCAATGTCGGCTGGTGACCCCCAGGGGGAGGGCCTTCTCTGTGGCAGTTCCTGCCCTCTGGAACGATTTGCCCCCAGAAATACGAAGGATATCGGATCTCCGGATCTTTCGCCATGCCCTGAAAACTTTTCTTTTCCATCAAGCAGGGCTGGCGTGAACCCCCTCCCCCTTTTTTAGTCTTTTTAGTTTTTTAGTTTTTAAATTGTCATTGGGTTTTAATTGAATTGTTTTAAATTGGGCCAGGTATGTAATTCTTTTAATAATTTTAAATTTTGTGTTGGCATGTGTTTTAGTTCTGGCTGTGCACCGCCCTGAGTCCACTAGGAGAAGGGTGGTATACAAATTGAATAAAATAAATAAATAAATAAATAAATTCATGTATGAACCTGACAGGAAGACTGTCTCTACATTATACAGGGAAAATGTTATGAAGATGGAACCCAAACATCTGGGGGTATTCTGAAATAATTAAAACATGCCATTTGTAATCTGTTGTTGTTGCACCTGCTGCTGCTGTTAAGTTGTTCAAGCACTTCTGATCCTTTGTGACAAAATAGACCACATTTTGCCAGGATTATTAGTCAGTTACTGCTTATTTAGATTCTTGTGAATCTCATGCTCATGCGATCAGAGTTAATATCTGGTCATCTGTTCTTCTGGGCCTCCTTTTCAGTTACTATACCTCCTAGACTGGGGTCTTTTCTGTTGACTCTTTTATTTTATTTTATTTTGCACTATATATGCTTTTAAAAATTAAGCTTTAGTTTCATTGTCAGTGCTTCCAATGGCCAGTCTAGTTTACTTCACCTACTATTGAATTGTTTCATCTTCTTACAGTCATAAGTATTGTCAAAAATTTTCTCCAGTACTACAATCTAAAGGTATCACTTTTTCTTTGTTCAGCCTTTCTGATAATCCACTTTCACAGTTTTATGTTTCCACTAAAAAAATAATGGCCATAATTTATTCTACTGTCCTCACGATGTCTCTGCATTATACAGGTAGTGCTTGATTTACAACCATTTGTTTAGGGATCGTTTGAAGTTACAATGGCACTGAAAAAAGGACATGGCCTGTCAGATGTAAATGCCTTATTCTCCAATGTGTAACTAATGTATATATGGAACATCAGAGGTTAACTTATTCTTTGGACTTTAATGTATTCATAACTTACCACTCCCATTCCTAGCTCCACCCCTTGTATATATAAGGAGCCACCCTCACCATTCTCGTCGCTTCTACCTTGAATATTCAGTGAATATAGAATGCCTATCATAAATAAAAAGAAATATATTTAAAGCTTTAACTTCTATTATCTTTATTGAGTCTGATCCTGAAAATATTGCAACATGCTGGTAGCAGAGGATGGTTAATTGACTCAATAAGTAATTAAAAATGTCCAAGAAAGATAGGCCCAACACCAAGGCCTACAGCAAAGAAATAGAAACTGATCAAGAGATGATCAACGAATCCACCAATGCGATTTCGAGAGAATCCGAAGAATACACCACTGAAGAAGAAGAACTAATGAGTGAAAATAATGACCAGAAAGAAATCGAAATAGAAAATAACGAACTCAGGTCAGAGATATTAAAGATACTAAAAAGCCAAAAGAATGATGAAAGTCTCATCGCGGACCTCCAGGAGATGCTGAAGAACAGCGGAGCAGCGAGAGAGAAAAACGTCATTAAAGAAAAACCCAAAGATCAAAAAATCGTAAGTGAGATGACTACTGAGAAAATAGTTGTTAAAAAGAAAAGATGTGATCCCGCGCGAAATTTTGAATGGCAGCCATCTTGGTTTCAACGAACTTCAAAAGAGAATGGAGCAGAGCCAATCAAAACGCTCAGTTCAAAATTTCTGGCGCGAAAAACACTATCAGACGAAGAAAGTGAGAAAGAAGTCTCAAACTCTTCAGATGATCCAAAATCAGAAAGTGAAGACGATTTAACAAAATCTCAAGTAAAATCAGCAATGAAAACGCTTTTTGCTGCTTTTGGGCCAAGACTGAAAATTACCAAGACATCTACGAAGAAGCAAGAAATCAAACCGGCGACTCAAGACCTGCACGCTCCCATCCTGACTTCGAAAGCGACGACGCCCGAGCCCAGAGAGCCATGCCGATTTCGCCCTACACCACAGACAAAATCGAATACTAACGCACACAAAAAGAAGAAAAGAACCGTCACCACCACCAGAACCCCAAAAACCGAGCCAGAGACCGACTCATCTGAGGAGGAGCGGATCGAGAGAGCTGAAAGGGAGAGAACCTTCCACGACGCCACCAAAGAAGAAATGAGCAACGCGCATGTGCGAAACTACGTAGACGACCCAGAAGGACTTGAACTGGCCAGAGAACCGCGCAGACTCATTGCAAGCATCCCAATGCCGTTCTGTAATTTCCTGCACTTGAGAGATCACGGACTGCCCCAGGTTGTAAGTAATGGACAGAATAATGTAGGTAACTTACCCAGTGACTTCCCAAAACTTAGAATTGATGGCATTAATTTACAAGAGTGGTATCAACAGCTTCAGGTTATTTTCATGAAAGAAAATTTACTATTCTTTATAACTAGCCCTCCAAGAAGACCTTGGACTTTAAAAATAGATTGTTTACATCATAGAGCATTTTTCATAATAATATCTAGCGTGTCTCCTGCAATGTATCATAGCATCAAACCAAACCTAACTGTATCAGAAATAATTCAATGCATGTTTAATCTATTTCACAGCGATAGCGTAGCTACAACCACAAGAATGTCTAAGGATTTCTTTTCCTCTAGAGTAAAACCAGGGGTTTCTATAAGTGAGCATTT